CCCCCAGCCCAGGTTCATGTCTTACTGCTTATCACTGGCTGAATAAAAGGTTCCAATTCAAAAGTCATTTGTATGACCATGTGCTGCTTCAGACTATGGGATTCCAAGGCTCGATATGTGATGTCTCTGAAAAGCATCCATCCCACTTTAGTCCACAAGGACTCCTTATGGCTGGTCTGATACAGAACCTTACGGGGAAGGTGGCAAATTCCTCACATGGCTGTTTGCAGCTCCTTTCCCTAGAATCCAACACGAGTCTATATCTGTACAATAGATACCATACAATCCCAGAATCAGTAATGGCAGACCACTCAGGGCCCCACATGTTAGATCCCTTCATACAAAAGAGTCCTTGCCATAGTCACACACCTTGTTTGTTCTCCAGAATATAACCCTAACCCTAAGCACTTCTGAATCAGATGTCAAAGCCTTTGTAAGGCAACAGTGTTTCCATGTCTCTGTACACTGACCTCTATTGAAATGCTACACTGGCTCAGGAAGGGCAATGCTGCTATGACAAAGAGACTCTGAGGATGGGACTTGAAGCAGGTGGGAGCATCTTCTTCTCTACATGTTGGCCCATCAGTGAGGAGCCAGGCTGACAGAAAGGTCAATGTTTTTATGTTTTTGTTTTTGTTTTTGTTTTTTCAGGAAAGCCTCTCCTTCCTTCTCTTCCTTCCTTTCTTCTTTTCTTCCTTCCCTCCCTCTCTTCCTTCCTTTCTTCCCTCCCTGCCTTCCCTCCCTCCTTTCCCTCCCTCCTTTCCCTTCCTTCTTTCCCTTCCTTCCTTCCTTTCTTTCTTCTTTTCTTCCTTCCCTCCCTCTCTTCCTTCCTTTCTTCCCTCCCTCCCTTCCCTTCCTTCTTTCCCTTCCTTCCTTTCTTTCTTCTTTTCTTCCTTCTCTCCCTCTCTCCCTCCCTCTTTCCCTCCCTCCCTCCCTTCCTCCCTTCCTTCTTTCTAGTCTTCCCCAAGGTTCCCCTGGGCCTGTGGTTCTTGGGATGTCAGCACCATAACCTGGAAAGATTGTTAAACTGCTTCCTACTCCTAGGTGACATTCAGAGCCTGTGCAATATGTCAGAACTGAGTATGGGAATTTGCATTTTTAAGTGAAGAAAGATGTGTTTTGGTTCACAGTTTCAGAGCTTTCAGCCCAGTGGTCAGGAAAGCATAGCAAAACAGCTTGTTTCATGGTTGTAAGAGAACAAGCATGGCAGAAGCTATGCACATCATGGACCAGGATGCTGAACATCTGCTTTTCCACCATACCTCAAGGGATGCTGATGTTGCTGGCCCAGGGAGTGACTACTGTGCATTTGTTCTACCTGGTCAGTAGGGACACAGAAAACAATAAAATGGAGCCTCTGGTGCTGGAGAGATGGCTCAGCAGATAAGCACACTAGATGCTTGTCCGAAGGACCTGGGTTCAATTCCCACATATCATCTCACAACCATCTGCAACTCCAGTTTCAGGTGGATCTCCAGTTCCAAGGAACTCCACACCCTCTTCTGGCCTTCTCCAGGTTCTGTACACACATAGTACACAGAAACTCATGCAGGCATACACACATACACATAAAAATGATGAGAATATCTTAAAAGACGTGGTAAGACACAAGGACAGTGTGTTAAAGCCTGGCTGGGACCTGGGCATACCAACGGGGTGATGTGCAAAACTATCCAAGTGTTGGATGGAAAGTGAAGTGCAAATGCAAAGTGAACAAGGAGCGATTAGTCTAGACTTCTTTCCCAGAGGTGTTGTCTCTCAGAGAGTGACCAGAATTCATTAAAATAACTGGAAAGGTGCCCCAAAAACCAATGGTACTGTGACAGTGATGTCCTCAAGGACAATGTCACTTCACATCTGCAGCTATCTCAGTGTCTTCTGAGAAGTGTCTTCACCTCAGGCTCACTTAACAGCCATCTCCATACCAAACTGTCACAGTGTCACAGTCTATGTTCAAGAAAAAGCTATCCTTGTTCATTGGTGCCCATGCACAGGCAAACCCATAGCAGGTATAGAGCTCAGCGTGGCCTATGATTGTAGGCATCCACTGTGTGCACGTGCACCCACACCTGCTTTTCCTCTTGCTCTTTTGTTTTTGTTTGTTTTCACACATGGTACCTACCTATCATCTGTCTGTCTGTCTATCCTCTCTCTCACTCTCTCGATGGCCTGTTACATGTAACCCTTCTGCTTCAGCCTCTCAAGTACTGGTATAACAGGGAGGCATGACTAGCTCACTTTTTTCAAAGATGTATTTATGTTTATGTGTATGAGGTCTGTGTGCACATATTTATGTGCACCGTGTGCATGCTTGGTGCCTGCAGAAGCCAGAGGAGTACATCAGATCCCCTGGAACTGGACTTGCAGACTGTTGTGAGCAGCAAGCAATGTGGGTGCTGGGAACCAAACTCAAGTCCTCTGCAGCAGCAGCCAATGTTCTTTATCTCTGAATCTCACATATATTTTTATGGTAAGAAAAAGAACAAATATGTGATGTATGGAGATACCACAGAAAAACCTATTCATCTCTACAACTTATAGCTGCCAGTCACTATAATTTAAAAAAGAAAAGAAAACTCCTGCAAACTCTTTCCTCTTGGGATGATAGATTGGGAAGAGGAAAGGGCAGGGTAGCTGGGCACACAGGTTGTGCCCAAAGTAGAATGATCTAGCAAGGCTTAGGGTGGTGGCCTTGCCTTGAATTGTGACCCAGACTGTTTCATGTCATCTTGGAGCTTCTCTTCATCCTTCAGCTCGCTGTCATCCCCCAAGGCTGACATGAGAGTCCCTACTGAGCTTGAGCAGGACAACGAGGGAGTTGGTGAAGACCCTGGTGACAACATATTTCTGTTCATGTTTTCAGGAGAGCCCCATAGCAGGACCCTGAACCGGCCTCTCTTCCAACAGCCGACTGCTGCTGCCACCAGTGTCCCCTGCCTGGACCTGTCCCACCTCTCAGCAGGTAAGACTGGTCTCTACCCCATGGTGATAGAGTCCCCCATACCATCGCTGTCAGTCCTAGACTTTCTCTCCCCTAGGGATGAAGGTGTGATGATTCTCACCATTCTGGAAATCCTTTCCCTGTCTTGAGTCAGGTCATATCGACAGCCCTGGGATGAAACTGCTTCATCCCAGCTCCCATCCTAAGTTGTCACTTGCTGAGTTGGTAGCCACTGATGCAGCCTGCTAGCAGCCCCTAGATGATTGTGTCCGCATAAATGTGCCTGTGTGGATAGTTAGTTCAATTTTCCTTTTGCCTCACCTTCCTGGAGGCAAGGCACCCAGTCAGTGTCCCCTGGTGGCAGCATGGATGTCCATCTTTGTCACCACCCCTGTTGGAGTATGTTGTCCTCGCAGTGTGTTTGTCGTTACCTTCTTCATCAGGGCAGCTGTGACTACTCACGAGACTGTAATGGCCTCATAAGAGGAGGGAGAGGTGTCACCAACTGCACCTGAGCTGGAGCCACTCTCACTCAAGGCTGGGTGTGATTCTGCCCCAGCTGTCTGTGGCCTCTGAGGCGCGAGGGTAGATTGTGTGGGAGGTTAGCTGAAAAGGACCTCCATCTGCATCCGTGTTGGGATGGGACCGTTCAGGGATACAGCTGTTCTGGGGCCACCGGCGATCTAGTAAGCAACCCCTCACTCACGCTCTGTGAGCAAGCCCAGTAAGCTAATTGGTTCACCACGCTGGACTGTAGTGGGGGAAACACGGTGTCTCCAGCAAAAGCTTATACCCCACCCCACCCCTCTTTGTCTTCAGTCCGTTTCTTCTTACTCACTTGGGTCTTGTAGAGGCAGCTAGTGGGCTCAGAAAAGCAGAGGTGTCAGTCAAGAGGAGCCTAAAAGAACCCTGGGTGAGTTGGGGATGGGGACAACTCCAAAACCTCCCTCCCTCTTAGTCCGCCTTTCAAAGTTCTTCCATCCCTAGCTCCAGTTAGCTACAGCCATTCTCTTCCACACTTCCAGCCATCTCAAGTGGCTTGCCCACCACTGTGTCAGCCCCTCCCTGCCCTCTCGCTCCTGCCCAAGGGGTGCATTGATCCTGGAAGAGCAGGACAGACCAAGGCTGGAGCAGGCTAGGCGGTCCCTGGGATTCAAATTCCCAGTTACTCGTGGCTCTCCTCCTTGCTGGGAGGTTTCCAATCGAGATATGAAGCCATTCGTGCTCAATTCTGCTTTGAGCAGCTGACCTAGCTAATATATATATATATATATATATATATATATATATATATATATGCCTTTTCTTTAAAAAATGCCTGGGACAATGGCATGCCTGGGACAATATATGAGGCCACTGGCAGTGGGTCCAAGACCCAACTCTAATGCACAAGCTGACTTTAGTGGAGCCCATTCTATATGGCTTGCTCAGCCTAGACACAGGGGTGTGGGGGTGGAGAGGTGCCTTGGTCCTGCCTCAACTAGATGATGGGACAGACTCAGTAGACTTCCTGTGGGAGAACTTACCCTCTCCATGGAGCAGATGGGGGGAGGGGAAAGTGGAGAGAGTGGGAGGGGAGGAGGGAGGGGGAACTGGGATTGGAATGTAAAAAATAAATTAATTAAAAAAAATACCTGTGAGCAAATGTCATTGCACGGAGGGAGGAGACACACCAGGCTTCAGTGTCTCCAAACTCTCCTCAGAGGTAATGGGCACTAGTCTTGGCCTCTGCCTCACTCCTAACCCAGGGAGCCACTGTCCTTTCTATTTGTGTTTGCTTGACTTTCAGCCACACACTGTGATCATTAGTCTCCCTCAAGCAGTTTCTCCATGCATGGGTGACAGAGAATCTTCCTCAGGGGACAGCTAGCACTGTAATGTCTTGTCTTGGCCATGTGGTCTAAATGTGTGTCAGGGCAGGGGGAATTTCTTCTTCCTTCTGAAAGAACAAATCTGGCTGGGGGGGATCTGCAGATGGTGGGACACAGGAAGAATGGGAAGGGCCCACCTTTCCCTAGGCAGCAGCACTCCAACCCTCTCCCCATGGTTACTTACAGGCAACACAGAATGAAGGAAGGCATGTCTAATAACAGTACCGCCAGCATCTCCCAGGCCAGAAAAGCTGTGGAGCAACTGAAGATGGAAGCTGGCATGGACAGGGTGAAGGTAAACTCACCAAGCATGTTCTTTCCGGGTTCCAGAGTGGCCTGGTGAGGCTCAGTCCCCCAACAAAGCAACAGTCTCAGTGGGTGTGTGTTTGTTCCAGAACACTGCCATGATGCAGTCCACGGTGTGTGAGTTCCATGAGGAAGTGTCAAAAATAGACTGTCCTTCCCGCCAGCTGTATTTAACCATTGTCATAAACAAGGGCAGAAGACAAGGGACCGACCATGAGGTTGACCACATTGTGTCTCCCCGGTGCTGTGACAGGGGTTAGATGGCAACACAATTTTGGACATGCACAACTAAGGCTGACTCATTGAATCAAGCCTATGTGCATTGAATATTCCCTGGGGGAGTTGAAGAAGTGCCTGCCACCTCCCACCAAGGGTGTTTCTAGTCTCCTCCCACCGGAACTACTGCAAGGAGACCAAGCCCTGGTTTTCGCTGGTGCACCTAGAGATGAGCAGTGGGCTTGGCAGTTTGTGGCTCTGAAATACAGCCAGCTCAAAAGGTTAGGACACCCCTCCCAGAGGAATGATCCAGGGGACTGGAGTATGCCATGCCCATGGTCTTGCTCAAGCATCTGGTGTATGAGTTACTGCCGACAACAACCCGAGGAAAGCAAATTTAGGGAGAAATGGCTTTTTGTCCATAGGCCATGGTTTGAGGATTCAGTCCATCTCAATGGGAAGATGTGGTGTGAGGGTGGTGGCAGCTGGGTGGGGGATGAGGCACTGAGTCACATGGTATCCAGTCAGGAAGCAGAGAGGTGAGTAGCTCAGGAGCCCTGTCTGTGGGTGGGTAAAGCTGGTCTCTTCAGTTAAGCCTCCCCATGACCACACTCACCTCCTAGATGATCCCAAAACCAGGCACAATGATATTAGCCATCATTACTTTGGAGTACAAAGTTTCTAAAGCCTTCAAGGCTTCCCTTCCAGGAAGCATTTATCTAATTATTCTTTTTCAATTACTCTCCGGAATGAAATATCAGGGTAAAAACCTGAATGATCAGAGAAACAGCCGAGACATGACTTCCTCTCTTTCTCCTTCCTTGATCCAAAAAGAACTGAGAATCTTTCCAAGCCCCACCCCACTATTTCCTGTGTCTCTCTATATGCCCTTGGTCCTCCAGAACCTCTATTGGTAGTTTTGGGAATGTCAGAGCTCTATCAAAATATCCCACAACACTTTCCACTCTAGAGTGTGGCTCAGCAGCCAGACCTTCCCTTTGCAAGCAGAGTGGCCCTTTGCCCTGCAGCTCATGGCACGTGTTATCCTGGGGATAACACAGAGCTTGATGTACATGCACATGAGACAAGGAAGGAGTGTGGGGTTGTGCACAGTGTTATAAACAGACCTGTCGTTTGAGCACCAGCATCTTGTATGTGCTGACACCAGCTATGCTGTCATTGGGGTGTCGTGTCCCCCAAAATGTTAAAGGTTTGGACCTCATTGCAGCACTACTGTATGATGTTAGAAGTTTTAAGAGATAAGGCCTGCTGGGAGGTTTTACGCCACATGGGTGTTGTGGAACTCTGGTCAACACTTTTAACATTTTATTTATTGTTATTTTATTTGTGTGTGTGTGTGCGCGCGCGCGTGCGTGTGTGTGTGTGTGTGTGTGTGTGTGTGTGTGCGTGTGTGTGTAAGTAAGAGGGCAACTCTGTAGTCAAGTCTCTCCTACGTTTTATATCAATTCTGAGGCTCTAACCCAGGATCGAACTTGCATTTCAAACATCTTGGTGGGCTGCTGGTCTCTTCTCTTTGTGGTTGGTTTGCTTTAGTTTTTCAGATGTAGTATCACTTGGTAACCTACACTGTCTTTGAATTTATTCTATAGCTCAGGTTGACCTTGAACTCACTCACAGTGAGCTTCTTGTCCTCCACCCTGACCAAATGCTGGCATTATAAGCATATAACACCATGCCCAGCTTCATCTCTTCCCTCCTGGGTAGTAGCCATAAAGTGAATGGCTTTGCTCTGCCAGGTGCTGCCACCATGATGTGCTGTGCCCTCAAACTGTGAGTTGTTTGCCTCGGGTATTATAGTAGTAGAAGCTGCCAACCACAAACAGCCAATCAGATGTCAGCCCTGGGAATGCAGAAGGGAGTGAGGTTAGCACCCAGAGAACAATTGGAAGCAGGGGTTCCAGAGACTGAATGGGACTTGGGAGGCATCCTGCAGACAAGCAGTGCCCAACTTTGCAAAGACAGGAAACTTCTGCCAGGGGAGGACATGGTGAGAACATCGCTGAGCAAGACTCTGCACAGCCGGGCTGTGGCTTCAGCGTGAGCAGATGTCTCCGCCATAGTGAGCAGAGATGTGAGCTGGCCTCAGGCCAGCAACGGGATTTGGGAAAGCCACCTGCTGAGCTGCCTGGGAGAGGGTGCTGCTGGCATAAGCACAGCTCACAGAGCCACAGTGAATTACAGGTGCCTGTGGTGAACGGCCCGTGGCTGCAGATCTTAGGGAGGCAGCAGCTGGAGCTGAGCATGTCACTGGGGTGGTGGGAGAGGTGAACACACCAAGAAAGCCACCTGAACGTGGGAAGGAAGCATAGCGTACCAGGCAGAGAAAGGAATGAAGCCAGCCATGCACCAAGCCGGAGCTAATACACAATGAGCACAGGTTAGGGCCACATATGACTGCCGGACAGGGAAAGACAAAATCTGTGACAAGAGATGATCTCCAGACACAGACAGAGCCCCTGAGGCTTGTGTGTTCCCAGGGACGGCGAGGTCTCGGGATCTTCTGGGCACATGTACAGAGAGAGTCATAAATCATGCCACAGGCATTGGGAAGGCAGTGTTGTGCTACTGCTGTGAGGCCTGTGAAGGAAGTAGCTAATTCTAGCTCTGATGATGTCAGCACATGGAGTGGGCAAGGACCTAGCCTGTGCGGTTCAGAAGCAGAGCGTACAGTTCTCAGGGAGGAGACTGATAGGCCTGGGCTGTCTGATGTAGCCCAGGCTGGCCTCAAACTGGGTATGTAAGAAGGATGACCTTAATTACCCAATCTTCTTGCCTCCATCTCCCAAATGCTAGGGTGACAGGCATGCATGATCTTACATAGGTTTGTTGTGGTAAAATACATAGAACACATACTTTCCCATTAAACCATCTTTAAATAAATCGCAATTTTCAGGATCAGAGATATTTTTAGTATCATGAGCTACCACCACCTTCCATTTCCAATCACTTCATCTTCCCAACTAGGAATTTATCCCCATTCACCCCTCTTGCAGCCCTAGAAACACCATTCTGCAGTTACTGTGGCTACAGCTTTAGTACAGACCTCTTCTAAGTGGAAACATGTAATGGCTCTCATGTGTAGTTTATTCACCTAGCACAGCATCCTTGGAGTTTTCCTATGCTGTACAGTGCATCAGAACTGTAGGCAGATGTTTCTCTACTACCCACCAGTTCTCAAGTAATTTTAATGGCTGAATAATGTTCCATTATACATATCTAATTAATAGACACACACACACAGAGAGAGAGAAAAGGGCACACATATAAACACACACACACACACACAAACACACACAGTATTTGAACCAATATCAATTTTTTTTTTATAAAAAGTGGTGCCAAGACAGGCACATATTTCTGCCCACTGACTGTTTCTGAGATCTGTCCCTTACTCCTTACTATCCTCGGACCACACCATCTCTAGGTCAGCCAGACGCTGCGGTGGGCAGCCTGATGCTCAGGTCTGTGTCTCCCCTCTTGCTCTCTCGGTGGCTTGAGAAGCCCAGCAAGCTGAGTTCCAGATGAATATGATAGAGTGATTTCACTATTGGCATATAGGTCTGAGAATTATTTCTGAGACCGATTTTGTGAATCAAGCTCATCCTTTTCTCTATAAGAAGTCAAGAAGTCAAACTCTTAATGAAATCAATGTCTTACAACAATATATTAAAAGTCGTATTTATGGAACTGCCCTGCTATTGCTATGATTTTATTGTGTAGCAAAAAGCACAGACTCCATGGGTTAAGGGCTCGGACCAATAACGCTATTGCCCTTATGGACACAAGTCACAAGCTTCAGGAGCTCTGTCTATCTACATTCTGTAAGGCTTGCTTGCAAATTCAAGGGTTCCCAAGGACACTCTTCCCCTAGGCTCTACCACTCATAAATTAATTCATAGAACTCAGGAAATGTCTTACTTATATATACATCAGTTTATTATCAAAATGATAATTCAGGAACCTCCCGATGAGATGCCCAGGACAAGGAGGTGTGTCAGCTTCCAGGACTTGTACAAGAGTGATACCTCCCAGCCTGTAAATGTGTTTATCCCCTCCAGGGGTGTTATAGTGGTTTCCTTATATAGCCATGATTATTAACACATTGGCCACTCAGTCTTCAGCCCTTTCTCCATCCCTAGAGGTCAGAGGCAGGGCTGGAAGTTCTAATTCCAACCATAGCTGTCTTTCTGATGGCATGCTCTTTTCCTGAAGCTGTTCAGGGGTCCCCAGCCACCAGCCATCTCATTAGTATACCACAGAGTCTCTTACCACTCATTAGAGTCCTGGAGTTTAGGAGCTCTGTGCCAGGAACAAGGGACAAAGGCCCCATGCTCGATCTACTATAAAAGGCTGACTGCTCCTGTGTCCTAAAATTGCACTGTGTGAAAAACCAGTTCCTCAGCCTTGTACACATGACCATTGACTCACCTAGCCCATCATTATATTTAGGAATTACCAGTTCTCTCTTAGTACTCCCTTCCACCTACCTTCATCTCCAGACTCATAAATATGCATCTGGAGAGTGTGCTCCACTCCCCAGAGAACACCTGTCGCCACAGTGTTCAGAGTGGTGCTGACTCTGACCTCAGCATCCCATCTATCTGGTCCACCACAGAAGCACATGTTTATGCCAGAAAGCCAAGACCTTCCTCTGTGGAGAGACATGCTGATGAAGAAAGTACCAGGTACCCTCAGAGAATATATATTAAACAACCCATCTAACATGGGTTGCCAGCACCTCCTCCAAAGGCT